GGACCCCTTGACTTCCCCAAAGAAGGCGTCGGCATCCAATGCGACATCAATTTCGAAAACCCGCTCGGAATCCACAACACCCGCCTCCTCCGCTGCTACTCCCTCTGCGACCCGCGCGTGCGCCCCATCGTCCTCTTCGTCAAAGCATGGGCCAAGCGCCGCAAGATCAACAGCTCCTACTCCGGCACCCTCTCCTCGTACGGCTGGGTCCTCATGGTCCTACACTACCTCGTCAATATCGCCCAACCGCCCGTGTGCCCAAATCTGCAATTGATCTGGCGCCCAATGGCTCACATGGACGTCGATGCTCTAGAGAAGATGTTCAAAGAGACTACAATTGACGGCTACGCAGTCCGCTTCTTCGATAACGAGCAGGAAATAATCAACATGGCACAGTCGCGCCGCCTGACCAACAACACCCAATCCATTGGCGCTCTCCTCCGCGGTTTCTTCCAATACTTCGCCTCCGTCCCTCAACCGCATGGATGGGGCTACGGGCCCCGTCCGCCGTCGTTCTACTGGACCAACGAAGTGCTTAGTCTTAGGACTCCCAACGGAATTCGCTCGAAGGGCGACAAGGGATGGACGGGCGCGAAGACTACAGTTTCGAACGGCAAGGAGGTTCGTCATCGGTACCTTTTTTGCATCGAGGATCCGTTCGAGACAGATCATAACGTCGCGCGGACCGTCACGCATTTCGGTATTGTGGCTATCAGGGATGAGTTCAGGCGTGCATGGAAGATTTTGAGTGCAGTGGGGAGGGGGCTGGAGCCGGAGGGGGGAATCTTTGATGAGGTTGTTGAGGAGCCGCCGCCAACGCCGGAGAAGGTGGAGGTGGAGGATGGGGCGGCGTTTCAGGTGGTTGGTGAGGAGAATGAGGGTATTCTGGATGCGGTGTGATGGTGGTGATGTGCGTTGCTGTTGTCGGGAGATGAGGTGTGAGGTGGGGTTTCTTTTGTAGCTTTGCATGGTGGGTGTTGCGGGTGTGGGATTACTTTGCATGACTTATTCTGGGTGGGTGGGTCTCTGTTTCATACATTGTTTCTGAGTTTTTAGGGTTGTAAGGACAACATGTATGTCATGGTTTTGGAGTCTCTCGGATACCGGAATAATTGTGTGTTATCAAGATCCAGTCCTGTCGTCTGCGGTAGTGTAGACAACGCACTCAATGAACTCAAAAGATTTCTGAACTTTCTGCCCGAGAAGTAACCATCTCCCGAAACCATGGCCTTCAAGCCAGGGGTAAGCAATGTAAGTCTTACCTCAAGAAACCCAAACCGCAGTATAGAACAGAAATACATAAACGCCCACGCAAAAATCAACTCTCCCCAAACCCGCCCGTAACCCACACCACGCTCCCCATCATCCGTCCACCCCTCACCCCTCCTCCTCCCAATCCATCGCCTCCTCCGCATCCATCCTCCTCTGCGCCCTCACCGCCACCTTCCCCAAAACATCCCTCTCAAGCTCAGGCACCCTCCACACCCTCCTCCACAGCCCGACCCCAAACTCCCTAACCATCTCATGCCAATTATCCGCCATAAAGTCCGTCAACAGGCCCTTCATCCTCTCATGCCCATCGAGCGGCGCGCCACTCGTCCGATACACAATCGCCACAAACGCCAGCACCTCACTCGACGTCCAGGGCATCACATGCTCCATCTTGCACGCGATGTATTCGAGCAGATCCTCCATGCCGAGCGCATCGGCGACTTCCCACGCCGACACGCACTCGGCGAACGCCTGGTCGCGGTTCTCGTCGGCGATGATGCGCAGGCCGAAGTCGCCCGTCATGAGGAAGTCGGCGGCGTGGGAGAAGTCGTCCGGGTCGAGGGTCGGGAGCGCGGGGAGGTCGATGGTCCAGCCCGAGACGCCTTTGGCGCGCATTAGCCCGTGGTGCAGGTTCGAGAAGTAGGAGCGGATGTCGATTTCTGTCTTTGGGATGATGAAGGATTTCTTGTCCGGGCCGACGAGGAATTCGACGAAGGCGCCGCTTTGGGTGCTGGGGGGGTTGTGGGTTAGTACTGTTTTGTTTTGTTTTGTGCGTTTGTGGGGTCTTTGGAAGGGGGGGCGTACGTACATGTCGCCCTCGATGACGTCGGCCTTCTCGATGCGCGGTCGGTTTGGCTTGGAGGGCCCGGCAACCGTGGAGTCTCGAATACCGCCGCTTCTGGGAGTGTCGTGAGCTCGACTTCGCTTGGCTGGGTATGGTGGAGATTCGCTTGGTGTGGGAAATGGCGTCTTGCGTGTCCGCTTCTTCTCGACCAGGCTCTGCCGTTTCGCTTCCCTCATGTCCTGATCTGAATCATCCGTTGCCTCGCTGGAATCAGAACCCGAACTTGAATCGAGCGACGACGGAGAGGCTTCTTGACGCTTGTCGCTCTGTGTCATCATCCGCCAGTAATCCAGAGGATCTAGATCAGAGCCGAGAGCACGGTGAAGCAGCTCGTACGCTTCCCTCAGACCGTTCGTGTCAGTAAGCTCGTCTGGATTTGGAAACATGTCGTCGAGTTGATGCAGTTCCCTCGTGGGGGCATAGTGTCTGGAGTAGACAGTCAGTCTGGGTACATGTCAAACGGTCGCAGCGAAACTTACACTTCGGGTACTTCCTTGATCAGAAGGACAGTGTGGTGGTAACTGGGTGCGCTGGAGCTCGCTGGGATGAGGTCTTGGGGTATGAGAATGCCGGGCCATAGCGGCTGTCGGGTACCTCGCCGCTCCACGAGCACGTAGTCGCCCACTGCGGGTTGGAACATGTTGCGGGCTGTCTCGAGGCCAGTCGTGGAAGATGGTGTCGTACTAGCGTTGTAGGTAGACCTTCGCTCGGACTCAAGAGAATAGTAGAGACACGAGGAAGAGTGGAAGGAAAAGAAGGTATTGTCTTGTTGAAGTCCTTGGTCTGCAAGGTGAGAGTGAGGCAGGCTCAGGATCGTGCAGAGATGGGGGCTTCACGTCCTCACCTAAAGCTGCTAAAACACAGGTCAGCCAGTTGTTAGTGGGATATATCAAGACTGTAATCAGAATCTACAAATCAAAAAGTGCGGTAAAGTGCAGAAAGATCTATAAGTCGTGCTGGTGCGTTTAGAAGTTAAGGTGAAGGTAGAAGCCAACTGGTCTGACGCCAACAAACACGCGATTGCATTTTAAAGTCTACTAGAGGCGTAATATCCGTTAGGTCAGGATCACACTATTTCCATGATGATATCGTAAAGAGTGACGTTGGACGTTATTGAACAGCACGACTCGCGAACCCAGAGCACAGCTTAGTCACGTCAGGTTAGCCAGGGTCCAGCAACGACATCAGCCAATGACCGAATCCACAATCTGGCATCATCACCGCAGCACCTCCGCCCACGACAAGCTCTCCAACCCGCATCGCGACAATCGCGCTCCTCCAAAGCCACAAAATCTTCCAGAGAGCTCCACGACCCCTCAAACCCCCCAAAAGAAATCCCCCGCCGACCGCGCCGCCAAACCCCTCCCAACACCCACCACAATGCTCGGCCTCTCAGACATGCAACCGCGCCAACTCGCCGCGCAAATCCTCAACTTCGCCCTCGTCCTCTCCACCGCCTTCATGCTCTGGAAGGGCATCAGCGTCGTCAGCGACTCGCCCTCCCCCATCGTCGTAGTCCTCTCGGGATCCATGGAACCCGCCTTCCAGCGGGGCGATTTGCTCCTGCTGTGGAACCGCGGGCTGGACACAAAGGTTGGGGAGATTGTGGTGTATAATGTCAAGGACAAGGATATTCCGATTGTGCATCGTGTGGTGCGGCGGTATGGGGGAGGGTGAGTCTAGCTGACCTTTTATTTTATTATTATTATTATTATTATTTTTTGGAAGAGGGGGGTTGGAGGGGTGCGATTGGAGGCCTGCAATGCGGTTGGTGCGTGAGAGTTGGCGAAGCTAATTGTTTGATATAGGAAAACTCCCCTCCGCCTCCTCACCAAAGGCGACAACAACCTCGCAGACGACACGGAACTCTACGCCGCCGGCCAGTCCTTCCTCACCCGCACAGAAGACGTGATTGGCAGCGTCGTTGGCTTCATCCCCTTTGTCGGATACGTTACCATTCTGTTGAGTGAATATCCGTGGTTGAAGCAGGCCATGCTGGGGATAATGGGGCTGATGGTGGTGCTGCAACGGGAATGACGAAGGGGTGTGTGTCTAGGCAGTTCCGCTTGGAGTATTGTGGGCGTGTACGTTATTATGAAAGATGTAGATAGAGGAAAGATATATATTAGACCGCTTTCTCTAGATGCTTTTTTAAGCGCATGGTATTGTTAAATGTGATTATGGAAGATAGTTTTACCATTTTCAAGGATAATGGCCGGGAAGGTATACATACCATGGCGTCCATTTAAGTCCTAAGTTTTTAAAAAATTAACCCTCATCCGTCAAGACCAAGAATCGAACCCCCGCCAAAAAAAGACAAGTCTTTTTTCTTCTCCTTCTTCTACCTACCTTAATTGCGTGTAGGATAACAGCGCTAAATGCTCCCCGCCGTAGGTCCCTGCAACGATTGCGTTAAGGCTACAAGCACGCTGGCCCTTTGCTCCTCGCCGTAGCAGATTGAAAATTTCTCGCGGTAATTTGTATGCGGATTTAGAAGGAGGGGGGGGGGATTCTAGAAAATGTATTTGCGTGGTCTTAAGTTGCGTTTAGACTTCTAGGTTTGGTATGTGCTTGTGCTTGTACTTGTATTATATACTGCAGGTGTACCCTCACCACTATTTGTCATACATAGTCGTCCTTTCCTCCACATCTACATCTCCTCTCTTCTATCACTATCACTACTGTACGTTGCATCAAGGATCACACCCTTGAGCAAAAGTCCGTTCCACGTACCAAAAAGACCCATCAGCAATGCTACAAAAAAAAAACTCCGCATGCGATGCGATGCGCCGTGTGGGGTCTACAAACTCAATCATCAGCCTTTTTCATCATCCCCTAAAATCCCATCCCCTCCCACTCATCATTCATTCCACAGGAGGTGCAACGGCACTTCACTTACTCGAACCCACGACCCCTGCCTCACAAAGCCACCTTTCACTTTCACAACTACATGTAGAAAGTAAGGCTTTTGGGAAGGCAGTATGCTAACCACTGCACCAACGGCGCCTTATCTTTATTCTTGAAGCTTTTCCTGTCGTAAACTACATATATACCAAGCTCAGGGCAATTTTGCAGTGGAGAGGGTGTGGGTAATTATTACGCTTTGCTGCGTTTGCGGGGCGAGGGGGAAGGAAGGATGTATTGGTGCGTGGTCGGGAAGGTGCGTTTGGATGCGGCTTGCTACCGCCGCGGCGAGGTGGGATGGTGCGGTGAAGAGTGGGCTTTTTGAGTGTACTGCATAGGAGGGAATGGGGCAGCGGAATTTGGGGAAAGATCGGTTGATATAAGAGGTATGGTATCATGCAGATGTTTCATGGAATTACTTTAGTCCTTGTTGTCACATTGAGAAATAGCATTTCGTCAAGAGTTGCGGTCTGGATGGAAATGCTGCACGATGAAAACATCCTTTTATCACGGGAGGGACCAGAGATCCATTATTTAACAGTGCAGCAATCTGGTTTGATCACGCAAGCCAGAAGATGACATATGTGCTGCGCTGCTTATGATTGTTGGGACGTATGCCTGGGATCCGAAATACGGAGGCAGGAGCAGCTCTACGCCGGAGAGATTAACCACGCGCCCACAACCATACAAAAAAATCACGACCAGACATCACACAGAAGAAAAGTATCAGCACTGTTTTCATACCGCAGATAACTAGTGTACAGGTCATGGGCTCGTGATGTCGCAGTGTCAGGTGAGTGGACGCCAAACATCATTAGGAGGCCTCATGAGGGAGCTTCCTGCGGCTTTTCCCATCATTGGTAAGTCGAAAGCCTCCGCTAATACCCATCACATAGAAAGATGCTCGAAGCAGATAAATGAAAACCAGCTGGTACTAGCCCGTGCCGCGCCGACCGAGACCGAAGACGTTCAGATGATATCAGAGAGGATGAGATTACTCGGATTCCTCCTCCTCCTCCTCTTCGGCCTGATTCTGCGGATTGTTAGAGGAGCCCTCGGAAATAGAAGGTGAGCGACTTACGGCATAGGCAACCTTCTCCTCCTCGTACCGCTTTTTGTCAGCGGCAGCCTTGGCCTCGTAGGGTTGGCGCTGCTTTTCGCTCAGGGCCTTCCACTTCTCGCCGAGCATCTTGCCAACCTCGCCTGGAAATGTTAGACAGAGCACAAACGGTTTGGGATGATGACATACCGAACTTGATTCCGGGGTTGTCCTCGCGCACTTTGTCGCGCTGGTCGTTGGCGAAGAACATGTAGGCGGACAGGCCACGCTTCGGGGCGTTAGGGTCTGAGCATGTTAGCGGTCAGGTGTGACGGCTGCACGTGAGTGAGACGTACCCTTCTTCTTCTTGCCACCGTCGGCCTTGCCGGCCTTCTTGCTGCGGGTAGTCTTCTCTTTAGGCATGTTGATGTAGGAGGCTATTCAAGCTTCTGGAGAGTGTAAGTGGTGTGGTCTGGCGGGTGCGAGGTTGAATAGATTACGGACTGCTGAACACAATCGTGGTGAAACGTGGGAGGGAAGAGAGAAGAGAGAAGAGTGAGTGAAGGGCGGAAGGCTGGGCGAGGTGAATGCGGTGCGCGGTGGAGTAACCGTGGTGAGGCGCGCCTGCTTGCACTGCGCGCCAAACTCGGTCGCAAAACACCACGATGCGTCGCGAGGATGCGCGGTTTTTGCAGAAAGGAAGAGCAAACTCACAGATGGCAGAGATGGGGTAGATGCAAATGGCGGCTGGCGGTGGTCTGGGTTGGGTCAGTACATGTGTGCTGCAAGCTGGTGACGGCGACGGCGAGGCCAACGACGCAACGAAACGCGGTGAAGGTGCGATGAAGCAGAAGAAGAAGCTGCGGACGACATGATGACGCGAAAAGGGCGCGGAAAACGCGCAAAAGAAGGTGGGTGGTGGTGCGCGTTGCTGTGTTGCGTACTGCGCGGTGGAAGAAGAAGCGAGGACCTACCAGGAGTTTGTTGGGCGACGACGGTTGTCGAGGACAGCACTGAGGAGTTTGTGTGAGAGAGTTCGCAGCAGCGAGAGAGGGACCCGCCAGACCTTGAGTGACGGCTGGGCTCGCGCGGGCGCTGGGGCTACGGCGTCACGTGACCAAACATAACCGGGCATGACCCCTCACGAACAAAGGGTAGAGGGCAGGCACGAAGCCCGTCGCGCCGCATTGGGTCCACCCACACGTCCTGACGCATCTCTTACGTGGCGAATAGCAAGAGAGGCCGTCTCTGTATTTTGATATCGCTTTTGGCTGCAAAGGCCCCCTCTGCTGCCCCAAATAGATACAGGCACAAGCACTGCACGCTCGATGCTCTGCAGCGCGCCCGAGTCTCCGTCGCCGCGAGCGAGAGCGTCTATGCTTGCCTCTGCGCTGCATTCCCTCGAGCGCCCTGGCGAGCCGTTTCATGTGCGCTTAGATTGCAGGCGAGACACGCAACACGATTCGCCTGCCCAAGAAATTGATCCCATCCAAGTTGATCCAACGCTATCGCCGCCCGCCTGGAGAGCCAGGTCAAGCGCTCTCCTCCCAGTGCTCCCACTGCTCCGCTTGCGCGTCCGACCTCTGCCCACCCGCGCATGCGGCCTCTCCCACTCCAGACGTCAGCAGATGGCCTGAGCCCGCATCCTTTACACCACCCTGTGAAGAGCCGAACAGCCGCTCGTTCCCTTTTATTTGGGATGGACAGCGTCTGACGGACGAGAGAAGCCCGCTGCATCCATCATCATACCTGCACTACGCCGGATAGGGAAGTGTAAACAACCCGGAGAATGGAAACGCAAATCACCATGGGACGTGATTGATTCTGGAATTCAAACGATATGACGGCAAATAGGGGACCGGTGGCGAAGGGGCGAGGCGGCAATCGAAGGTCTCGGGTATCAACTGGTCGTGGTAGCCCTCCCTCAGCTCAGCCCAGGCCCTTTGCGACGACCAATGCATGCCGTCACCGTTGGAGGCCGGATCTGCGGGTCAGGAGGGTCGGGACATGTTGCAGGGGCCTTCGGTAGGTTTCAAAGCAGGCACACAGTTTGTCTGTTGTTGAAGATGTGGTGCGGACTGGACTCTTCGCTGCGATGTCACAGTACATGATTAGTCACGATTCCAGGGTCATCCAGCCGCCTGTAGATCTGTCACTGTCAGGCGTTGCCTGTCACCAAGCTCCTCCACCGCAAATCCCAGGCTGCGTATTTCCAAACAAACATGTCGCGCAAACCAGCGCACTATCCAGTGAACGGAGCCACGTCAAGCCTTGTATAACGGCATTTTCTAACCCCTCAGTGAGTTCAATGTTGCAGGCGTTGACCCATGCCTGTACTACGAAAACAGTGGTACCATGCTACGCTGATATCGCGCAAGTACAGCGCACATCCACGAACAACTTCCAATATCTCACCAGAGGCACATTGCAGTAGTCTGATCACATTTGCCCGGTATGCTACAGGTAACCCGCCACTCCGCCTTGTCGAGCTTAGAAGCTCGCTCATCCCACTCTGTCAAGCAGCTCCTTCCGGCAAGTGTCCTTTGCACAACAGGCGACGCTGTCGGGTTGGACTTTAAGATACTTTGGATATTGTTAAGGGACGCAGTCATCTGAAAATCCCTTCCGATCTTCACGATGGAAAATATCATGCGGTGTGCATCGATCATCCATCCTCTTCATCGTCCATCACCAGCTCCCGCAAGACCTCGTCTGCTGCCCAGTTGATACCACTGCCGACAATCATGGCCGAAATGATGCCCTTGAGCGTCCGCATCCGCCTTCGCGACTCTTTCAGTTCTTTCTCTACAGCTTTGACTTGGCTGCGCAGCCGAGGGTCTTCAATGTCCTCGGTCGATTGTGCCTTCATCTCCTCTGCCAGTTCGAGTAGTGTTTGAGATAATTCTCGGTTCTTTTGGTTGGCGGCGATGTTGCTCCGCTCTGCTAAACTGAGAGCATGCGCAGTGGATGTAAGTTTCGAGCTCAATGAGCCATGGACCATGGAGACGGTGTCGTTCTCGGTAATCAGAGGCAGGATTCGCCTACAGTTCATCAGCTTGAATCATATTACAAACACAATTCTGTTTACTTTTCCGCAAAGTCGCTGTCTTCACCACCATGGACAGCTTTCAGCACAGGATCCATGATCAGCACATTATGAGATATCCGGTTCCGTATCTCAAACTTTGCCTTCGAGTCCATGGCCTCGCGTTGCGCCGTGATCAGATGCTCTTGCAAGACATCATCTGATAGCGCTGAAACATCAGGCACATGAGCTGTGAAATTAGCACTACACGCTTACAACTTGCCCGTTATTGCGTACCTGACTCCTGCGCCTCAATGAGGCTCCTCTGCAGCTCGAGCTCTTGGAGTTGATCGCAGAGCTCCAACGCGCGCCTCTCGAGGTCGGAAAACGCGAACGCGTCACAATGGGGTGTGGTTAGCAACCCAGACACCTCGGTTGACGTGTGCACTTTCGCATTCAAATCCGCCATCGTGATATCATTCACAGCTGCCATTGTTTTGGTCGAGTGCTCTATCGAGGACCATCTGATCGCGTTGATAGTACTCGAAAGCCTGTCTGCCGGCGATCCCTGCATCCATGTCTTGGCGGGTACCTTGTATCTTACACTCACTCACGCCTCGGGCTTTCAACTCCTCCAACACACCTGTCGCAACACTCTCAGCGCAGGTCGAGGGCAGCTCGCATGTCGCTGCAGATTGCTGTAGCTCATACAGGCCAGCGCCTCGACGCTGATCCCGTCAGTTTCCACTCGATCGATGCGCTGAAGCACTGGGTCGCAGAAGCTACAGAGATTCCACCCGAATCCCAGATCTTGCTCACTACCCGCGGCAAGCATGTCAAGCTACAGCTGCTCCTCACCGAGGTGTGTATATTTAGGTGTATAAATGAAGCTTAATTTGTGTGCTTCCCTTTGTGTTAACCAAGCTAATATATGCGCAGAAAGAGATATTCGTCTACCACCGCGACCTCTCCTCCGGCGCTTCGTCTGCTCTCTCCCCCACTCCGCTCCCGGACATATTCGCGCCCGACGATGCGCCCG